AGTCAGGCAGAGAAAAAGAAATACCACATGTTCTCACTCATTGGTGGGAGCTAAAAATAAAAAAATTAATTCACCCACATATACACACACAAAAAACCGGGGTGGGGGGTGAAGAAGATATAACAACTATACTTTTTTGAAGTTGTTACAACAAGCAAACAGAAAGGACATTCTTGGGGGGGAGGGGAGAGAGGGAGGAGGGAGGGAGGTGTCGGTGATGGGCCATAATAATCATATACATTGTATATTGACAAAATAAAAATTTAACGAAAAAAAAAAAGCACAATGATTAATTTTGAAACACACACACACACACACACACACAAAATAAATTAATAAAAAAAAAACATCAATTTTACACATAATCTTCCAGAGGCAGTATTTAACCTTAATACTGTAAATATTAAAATGCAATAATTTATGCCAAGTGCTTAGCACAGTGTTTAGCATAGAACAGTCCTCAAGTAAAACAACAAAAAAGAAAAACAAACAAAAAACTATGTCCATTCTAAACACTGGGATTAAAATCCAACCAACCTAAATAAAAGATAAAATTCATAAGTATTCTAATATGAACAAAAATGTTGTTTACCCAAATCATACTTAAAAAAATACTTAAGCCATTTTGCTACTAAATAGTTGAGAGAAGAATTATTTATAGAACATAAAAGAAAATTCTTAAAGAAACCTCATGAAAATCTAGAACTGTAGTAACCAAGCACTGAGAGTTGCATCTTCATCACCTCTCTGGAAGCTGGTCTATATCCATAGCCAGATGGTAAATTTTTGTCTTCTTCACAGCCTTTGGCTCCTGGACTGAAGTGTAATTCAACATGAAAGCGCTCCTCTGATGAAAGATCCTGAAAAATATGACAGAAAATTTTGAAAATTAGGAACTTGAAGCTATCTTTACCTCTGATAACACACGCAAATAAAGAGTTCTGTTACCTTGTTAGGATCCTCATAAAGCATGATAACAATCTGAGTCATGTAGTTGAGTTCATTGACAACGTTTAAATAATCCATAGCTCGTTTCCACTGTTCATCCTTTGATTCCTGAACAAAAGATATATGGTGATACCACACAAATAATGTGAATACTTATCATATGAATAATCTTTCAAAATAACTCCACTACATTTAAAAGTCTAAATAAGTTATTTAAGCTCAGTTAAGTAAATTATTTTTAAAATCTCTACCAATAGTATTAGAAGCTCTAGTGGTAACTTAAAAAAAAAAAAACAGCTTATACAAAGTAAAAAATAAAGAATCTCTTGTAATACAATACCCACTATTACATTCTGAGGGTAAGGGACAGTTTGAAACTTTATAAGTCCCAAAGTACTTAGTATAAGTATCACACTTCATAAACACAGAACTTATACTCTCCTAGAAGAATAATGCTATTTTTTCCCCACCATCATATAGTCCATATATCCAATAAATGTCTATCAGCAAATATTCCTTATTACATGGCAGTGGTATTCCAAAATCAGCAGGAGAAGGCATAACTTGAAACCTTGTTCAGTCTCTTCCCAGGTGAAATTTTGATTTTTCATAACTGTAAGGGATCTTACAGAACATGTACTACAAGCATTCAAAATAAAAAATTCTATATGAAAAGATAAATCTACTCAAAGTACAAAGTTTATAGTCAATGGTCAACAGGGTCTACTTCGGCATTATGTACATGACAGATAACTTTCCTTTATTGTGAATGCATAAGTCATAAACATTACAAATATATAAAAGCATCTGATAACTTTTTTTATACAATAAGAGTATATAATATTTTTCACTTCATTATAGAATGTGCTTTGTTTTAAAAAATAAAATTATAAGACCACAAGCTAATTGTGTATTGTTTTAAAAAAATTCAGCATATATTTCCTTTTTACTTTAGACATTAAACACTCCTAAACTAAGCAACACTAGAATAAAGTGTGTGTGTGTATGTGCATGCTAGCGCACATGTGTATGTATGTGTGTTTGGGAGGTGATATGTACAAAGATGTACTTTTTTCTCAAAATTGATAAGGGAAAACATGAATTAGCATAGCATAACTGATTTTCACTAGATGTGAATTACTGTAAATGATGGGTTTAAATTAAATACTAAAAATTTTCATTAGGTGAACTGATCAATTAGATTTTGATATTACCTTATTAAGAACACCATCTAATATCTAAATCAGTGTTGTACTTACAGATTTGTTAGGCCCACTCTGATGAATAAACAATATTTAGTAGTATCTTTCTGAACATAATATAAAATAAGCCACAAAAATCTTTTTTTAAAAAAAATTAAGGCCCATGGGGCTGGCCAATTAGCTCACTTGGTAGAGCATAGTGCTACCACCACCAAGATCAAGGGTTCAGATCCCCATACCACCCAGCTGCCAAAAAAATTAAAATTAAAATTAAGGCCCATTATACATATTCCCTGAAATCTTGTTTATAATCTAAATTTTAAGCAAACCCTTTTCAAAAATCTATTATGAAGAGAGAGATTTTATCCAGTCCATTCTGAAAAATCAAAAATTTCAACTGTGAAGAGACTGAACAAGGTTTTAAGTATATTACTTACATATTCTTGTAAGAATAATGAATAACAGGAGTTGGGATAATCAATTACAGCTCAAATAAATTAGATTTTAAAAAATTAGAAAGCAGACATCATTTTGTATATTCTTTAATTTTTGCTTTAGTAACTACATGGTAATAGGAGTTGGGATAATCAATTACAGCTCAAATAAATTAGATTTAAAAAAATTAGAAAGCAGACATCATTTTGTATATTCTTTAATTTTTGCTTTAGTAACTACATGTAATTTTTTTCTCCCTGGATGCAGATTTTTAAAAGAACAGAGGCATTCAGTTTCTGTTTTAGATATGCAGTCTGAATTCAATATACACTCAAAAAGCTCTGGTTCCACTGCTACCACCCTAATCTAAACTACATCATTTTTCTTTAGATTATTATGATAGGTTCCTAACTGGTTTTCGCATACCCATTCTCACCTATTGTCCACACAGCATCCAAAGCCACTCACTCCCCTGCTTAAAACCTTTTAATTGTTTCCCAATCCCCTTAGAATACAAGGCAGTGGGTCTCCAAACTTACCTGCTGCCAGCTGCCACTTTATCCATTACTCACTACTATGCTCCAACCACAGGCTATTAGTTTCTGTATTCCTCATGTTCTTTCTACCTCCTATATATATGCAGAAGCGTCCAAGAGAACCATGTAGATGTATCTCTCCTCCTCAAAAATAATCCCATCATCACTAGATATACCAACAAAGGTTGCCTTGCTAATTAAGGGTCATTTTTTTTCATTCGCTACATCTCTCATTAAAGCTAATCTAATCCATCTACGTATGCAAGGATATAACCTTGCTATTCCTTAACAGGACAAAGAAGAAACAAAAGCAGGATCAAAGAACATATGGATTTGAGATTTTGATGGGAACAGAACATTGAAATAGCCTTAGGGTAACTTTGATAATAATTATTCTCAATGCCCAGTAATAAGAAAGATTAGGAAACAAGAGACATATACCAAATCTCATTATACATTTCACTGCCCTTTATTTAAAAAGTACGTAAGAAAACAAAGTGGAGTTTTTTAAAAGATCACTTTGTACAGACGATGAGAACCTGGACTTCAAGTTTATACGTAACAAGATAAGACTGGAGGGGGTGGCACTGGGGGAGAAGTTAAGTGAATTTTACATGGGAGAGGAATGTGAATTATTGTTGCCAATGGGTGTATTGTGACAGATCTTATTTTCCAGAGATGGCTGCCACATATACTCAATCCTACATATTCTTTATACAATGTGACAGTGACACTCCACCCATCTAGTAATGTGGGTTATCTTCCCTCCCTTTGAACCCACATGTACCTCTGTGACTGCCTAAACCAACAGAGCTCAGAAGTGACGCTAGAAGTAAAGTTAGGTCACAAAAATGACATGCACTTGCACCTTGCTCTCTCAGGAATCTCACTCTTGGAACCCAGCTGCACCATTTTAAGGAAGTACATGAAGAGGTTAGATGTAGGTGTTCTGGTTGACAGCTGCAGCTGAGGTCCCAGGTGATAGCCAACATCAAGCATCAGACGTGAAAGAAAACCTTTGAGATGATGTGAGTCCCAGCCACTGTCTGGCTGCAACCTCATGAGAGACCCTAAGTGAAACTGCTTAATTGGCCCCAGTCAACTCTTTGAACTGCGAGAGATAAAAATAAAATGACTGTGGTTGTTTTAAGACATTAAGTCTTGATATCCCATTACATAACAGTAGATAAGAGGCACAATGTTTAACCAAACACCAAGTCCTGTCAGTTCTGACTCCTAAATGACTCAAATTCATCCCACTGCCTCCAATCTATAAAATCACCTAAAATATTTTATGTTGTTTGTTCAAATGAATCTTCTCTGAAGCCAAGAGAACATGTTTTTATGGCCAAAATCTACAATGTGTCTATATAGTAGACCCTTGAAAAATGATGACAAATTATAAAAATTACTGATGAATTACTAAAATTTCACAGTAAAAATAGCAGAGTTAGTGATTTGACTAGAAATTCAAGGAGTCATATTTGTTATTTAGATTGGAATAACTAACTGTACTTACATTGCACAACGCACCATAGCGAAGAATAGATAGCAATGAATGTACATGACTTTCACTGGTAAAATATAATCTGGTACGGACATGACGTTCAGGAGACAGAACACCTCTGGAATACCTAAAATTAGAAGCAGACTGTTAAAACATAACAATATAGTCAAGAAATTATTAAGTATTGAAATTATTTTGCAAAATGGAATTTTACTAGAAGTAGAAGATCAAAGTAAGTAAATCTATCACTTTCCCAACCACACTGAGAAGTTATCTTAGTAGATAATTTTCCTACATAAAGCTATAACTGAAACTAAGTAGGATCACTGAGATTAGCCAAAGAATAGACTTAATGTTAGTCAAGTTCACCATAAATAGTCTTAAAGATGCCTACAGACATTAATACTGCTGACTGGGGTACAAATTGATGAGTCCATGTGAATGATGACACATACCCCCTTTTTCCCATTCACCTCAGTTTTCTCAAAATTGGAGCCAAAAAGAACCTCGGTTGGAAGTTAACTAATAGGAATACCTAGGTAATACTATTTCCACAGTATGCTGAGTGATACACTCCTGACTTTTTCACAGGAACATCAGAAAGTAATTTAGATTTGAAATGTACAAAAACAGATGCCTATAGATTTAAATAACCAGTACAGTTTCTTACACAGGATGGAGCTTATTTACAGTGTCATCATCTTGTGTCCTCTGAAGATCTGAGCGAATTTTTCTAACTAAAGGAGTACAGTAGCCTTTGGCAATCTCCAGTTTTTCAGCTTTAGTAATACCATATTCCTGAGCAAAAGATACATGATATTAGAAAAAGATTATAATGACAGCAAGCTCTAACAAATGTACTCCTGAATTAAAAAATTCTAGTGAGAGACAAATATTTTAAGCTATTTTTGAACATTAGACAAATCCCAGTTTGCATTTTTTGTAAATGCAAATAGACTATTTCCAAACTATTAAGTCTAATTGGAAAGATTCTGTGGTGAAACTGACAGTGTTCTGAAAAAGCAAGTAGTTTCTGAAGACGGGAGAATGAATGGATGAATGCAATCTTTATGAATAGTATTCAACCTAATCGGGTTTTAAATGTAAAAATAAACCTAAAAGATGAATTAAGGCCAAATACTAAAGCACAGAATAGTCAATAAACATATCAAAAGAAATATAAATTAAAAATATGAGATTTTTGTCTATCCAAATGTCAAAGATTAAAAAGGCTAACACATTCTTCAAAAGCCTTTGACCAATACTTTTAAAGTTTTAACTAGTGGTTAGCAAAGATTCCATAAAATTATCAAATTTAAAAACGTCTATAATTACTATGAGTTAGATTTTAAGGAATTACTACAATGTAAAATGTCAAGAAAACATAGTAACTGTAAGAGTCATTGCAATGAAAATTATAGTTCAAAATGGTAGATTAGAAAATGACCCTTATATGAGAAAAGATGTGCATGTGGACAGGAAGAGGGAGAGGAAAGAAGAGGACAGAAAGTAGGGGCTGAGAGGGGAAAGGAGGGTGAACAGGGAAGAGGAAAGAAACACCCATATCCTCCCTCTCTAAGCTCATTCTGGAACCTTAAAATTTAAAGACTATTTCTTGCTATGAGACCTACAGAAAGATTCATATGCAAAACATCAATATACTTAATAGATCTCAAAAGTGCCTAATAAAGAAAATGCTGATTGGAAGACCTATAAAAACAGAACTTCATGAGATCATTTACCTTAAACTAACGCTTATTTTCCTAAATTGTTTCAATAATCTTGCCAATATGATAACCATGAAGTGAGTATACAAAAGGGATATATATGTAATTGTGGATGTATGTGTAAACAAAAGGAATACTTTAGAATTAAATGATCATCATGGGAAAAATTTTTTTTAAATCTGTTATTAGTAAGGTGTGAAGAAACAGGTATTTTCATTCACTGTTGGTCTGGGTAAAAAATTTCTGAGGCTTCAGAAGTAGTCTTGAGCACATGGAAAGATATGTGTAAGGAGAATGAAAGAAATTAAAAGAATCCAGATTTCTAAATATGAGAAACTGATTAAATAAATTATTCTTACATTCACACCACTTAGCCATTAGGAATAATAATGTATACATAGCTTTACTGACATAGAAAGAAGTTCTTGATGCTAAATGAAGGAAAAAATCAGGTTGTAAAATAGTATGCTTTTGCTGATTTCATTTTTGTAAAGACTGCATTTATTATATATGTGTTTATGAGAAAAATTATATGTGCATGAATCTAACCTAATTGCAGCAAAGAGAATTACTGTAATAGAGATACAACAGCTGGGTTTGGAAAATTATTTTAAAAGATACAAATGACAGCTCAAACTCTGCATAACCATACTAATTGCTTAATCATACTTAGCGCTTCTTCTAATTATGATACTTAAAAAAATTAATTATAAATATTTAAGTTACAAGGACATGGTGAGAAATTTGTTCAACTATATAAACAAAACACCTGACATGCATACAAAATGTAAAAGGTTATTATCTAAAACGCTATTAATATTTGAGTATTGTTGTGGGACCAACTCATAGAAACTGACTTTTCATTCCCAATTCTAAAACGTTTAATACATATAATGGAAAAAGTAGAGGGGTGAGATTGAAAAAGCCATGTAATGAAAGAGATGATTATGCTAACAATCAGAAAAAACGTGTATTTATTTAGCCACTTAGAAGGTGATATATTCAGATACAGTATACTTAAAGCCTACCTTGAAAAAATGCATACAGCCATAATAAATATTTAAAAAGGTCTTAAATCTACGTCTAATTGTTAAAAAGTATACTTTTTAGTAATCTGCATTGTAAGAGTAAGTACAACTAAGACACTGAAGCTGGACTACTGTCAAAGCAATCCAAATCAAGGAAGAAAATTAGGTTCTTATATATGCTTCCAATACAAACTTTAATTATTTGTTTACCTGAATTACTAATAATCATTCTTCTTGGAATCTTTAATATGAAAAGTTTGGATAAATTCTCTGTCTTGAATTTCATAACAAAGATGGATGCTGACGCAGAAACTTTTGTTAACGAGTTCTATATAATCCAGTCAGCACTAGCTCAATGATCATCTATCCAAACCATATAGTTAAAACTGAATCCTGCAGAAATTGTGTGTTCACTTTGATGGTAATCTTCAAATATCTAATGTTATAAAAATTAAACCTTTTACTCTGCAAAATAAAACTTCTCTTTTGCAGAATAAAACTTACCCTTTTTCATTTAGTACGCGAAAGAAATGGTCAGAGAATGAGTCCTACTCTCTAAGACCATATTTCTTAAAGTAAGGCCCAAAGACATATTCTTGAAATCTGCAATATTTTTATCCTCTTTTCAAAAGGATTTATGTTTGCAAATAACCAATTCATACATTATACCTAAAACTGCCTATTATATCTGACCAGAGATATAGTCCTCTTTCATGCCAAAAGAATAAGCTAATCTTTAACATGTACAAAAACACATATAGGTAAGATGTATACTGCCTGAATTCCTAGTTTTTCAGTCTTCAGTTGTTTCCTGGACTGTCCATAATTATTAGGAAAAGGATACTGGCATTATTTTAACCATTTTTATATATAGGTATTTGTGAGACTATATGGAGTGCACTAATATTAATAAAGCAAATGTATTTTACAGGGCCTAGCTTCCAAAGCCCTGTAGTTTCAAGTATAGCCTAACTTTTAAAAATTACACATAGAAATGTTAAGCTTGCAGAAGACAAATAAAACTTCCCCCAGGCTAAAGTCTCTGTTGTCGATAAAGAATTGTAACACAGCAAAATTGTTGGCTCCAAGGGCAGATGTCTTTGGTGCAGCCAAACCTAATGATTGTTGCCATGACAATTATCTTACTGTTCTTTTGTAACCACCTATGTTCCTTTTCTGTAACTTTCCTTCCTGAAGAATAAATACAGAGAGAAGACTGGAGTTCAGTGTTAATTTTCCGAGGAGGAATGCCTCTCTTTTGAGGGTTCCCTTCCTGAAGAATAAATACGGAGAGAAGACTGGAGTTCAGTGTTAATTTTCCGAGGAGGAATGCCTCTCTTTTGAGGGTTCCTGGAAATTAACCCCTTTGGGACTTCTCACTGCTCAGAAGAAATGGCTTTGAGTAATCCTTTGCATCTCTGTCACCCTGCGGGAGAGGTGGCAAGACTATTTGAACTTTTGTTCATAATCTTTATACTTTTCATGTTTTTCATTTTTTCCTGCTGTTTAACTTTAGTTCACAGTTGGAATATCTGATTCTCTCCAACTTCCTCTTTATCATATACAAATCCTCTTTTAGTAATTGGGTTGAAAAAGGTCCCACAATGGCATCTGGATTTTTTTCTTCTAACATTCCTGATCTCAACATGTTTTGTCACTTGCCCCTTTACTGTCAATCAGATTCTCTTTTTAACTGCATTTCAGTTATTTGAATTCTGGTTATACCTTTATTTGCATTCTCCTATACTGAAAAGACCCACATTCCTCAAAAGCACAACTACTTATATCTTGACAGTGAAAAACTATTTTCAAAATACTTTCACACAAAGTAAAAAGACTTGCCAAAATTTTTACACAGGGCCACAACTACCTTTTTTTCCCACTCCCCACACATTTTCATAGCATAGTGCCAGGTATGTGCACAGTCGGTATCCAATAAATACTTGAGATTTATTCCACACTGTTTTCAGTTGTTTTGTTAGCATATTATTGTTTTTTAGGAGCATCAATTCTTAAATTTTAGAAAAAGTCACTACATTCCTAGGGCAGTGAAACTGCTCTGTATGATACCATAATGGTAGACACATGTCATTGTAAATTTCTCCAAACCCATTGAATGTACAATACCGAGAGTAAACGCTAATGTAAACTACAGACTCTGGGTGATAATGACATGTCAATGTAGGTTCGTCACTTGTAACAAATGTACCACTCTGGTAAGGGATGTTCCTTGGGGTGGGGGACGACTATGTATACGTGGGGGCAGGATTTATATCAGAAATCTTTGTACTTTCCACTCAATTTTGTTGTGAACCTAAAACTGCTCTAATAAATACAGCCTACTAAAAGAAAAGTCAGTATAATCAAACTATTAGAAAATCAAATAATGCGATTAATATAATCAATAAAAAGCTTAAAATATAAATTCATAATTAATTTCTTTTTTAAAGTTATGAGTTACCTAGGGACATGAAAACCAACTGTCTTTTATCCACTGATAGACATTTTTAAAGTATCTATTTATTTAACGCTATAAGAATTTTCATTCTTAAGAATTACTTACCTGAGGGATAACAATATCTGCTAATGCCTTCGAAAGTCTATATAATTCCATTGTGTTTTCTAATTTCAAGGAACCATTATGCTGGACGTCATATTTTATACAGTCATATATGTCAGGAATTTTACTAATATCATATCTTCCATTTTTTGTTTTAAAGTCTTTCTCCAATTTGGACCATCTACGTAGCATAAGCTCCAATGTTTCACTATGGTAAAGCTGGATATCTAAAAGAACATAACATTTTTAGTATAGTCAATTTAAAACCTGATTAAGAATGTATATTAAAATGTTGATAGTTAGAAACTTAAGCATCAAAGATAAAACTGTAAGATGATAGAAAATATTAATATAGGTATATACAATTTGCAACCATATATTTTGCAGACTTGGATAAAAGGTAAAATTGGGTTAGGAACTGGGTTTACAAAAGACCTTTTCCATATACTACAGACTTTAAAGAAGAAAAAAAAATTATATCAAAACTCTTTTAAACTAATACATTTTCAATTCTGAACTTTAAATACTGCTACTTTTATTAAATGCACATAACTAATAGAGCAGTCAGACTATCTTTAGCAGAAAGGAACCTCAGACATTAAAAACAGTTCAAATGATCCATTTTTACCAGTAAGAAACCCAAGATGACAAAGTTGTCCGAGTTATTAACCAAGCTAGCCTTAGAGCCAGGGCCCAGATCACTTTGATGATTGCGCCTTATTATTATGCTGCCTATTCAATGCTTAACTGTATGCAATACTACATAATTAGATAATCAAATGAGAATGTTTTAGTGTATCTTTCACACTGTCATGAATAAAAGCAACTAAAACTTAATTATTATTCTTTTGGATATTAACTCATACTACACCTAGATCTCAAGAGAAAGGCTTGATTTCTTAAAATAAGATTGATGCGTCTTATTTAAAAATGCGTATGGTAACTAAATAACAATTTTCGTTTTTTGCTCTAAGAAAAACACAATATTTACCTGATGATTTGGGATCTTCCATTCTATGTCTGATTTGAGAAGTCAAACTCTGAATCAAGGAATAAACTTTATCACAGGTCTTCACAGGATTTTTAATTAAATGCATTGATTTGATAAGAGAAATGCTTCCAGATGGAGTAAGCTACAAAGAAGTAAAGAATGTATTTTATATTTGGTTATGCCTAGTTGTCTAAGAGAATGATATACAAAATTTCCAGTAGCTGGAGAATAATTCTATACGACAAATTAAGATGACCCCCAAAATACAGTAGTAAGATCAAAGAGGAAGTAAAAGCCTCATAATTTCATCTTAAAAAAAATATTAAATCTTAGCTATCACTACATTATACATAGAAAAAATTTATTAGAAGTACTCTAACCTAATGAGATTTGATGACAATTTGCTGACTTGCTTACTATGTGCAAATATGGCTGTAACTACTTAACATATATTTACGTGTAATAACCCTAAGCCTCTATTATTATTATCACCTTTTTCTAGATAATCTACTTAACTGAGGTTAAGCAACATGCTCAAGATCAAACGACTAATAGGTGAAGGAGTAGGATTCAAACACAGGCACTCTGGCTACAGAGCTGGTGCTTTTAACCACTATGATATTATGCCTTTGTAATGAGTTTTTTCCAATTCAACAAATGCCGTCAATGACAACATACTTCCAAATTCCACTTTTAACAATTTGCTTGGTAAGTTATTTAGCCACACCAAATAAATTTCTACAAATACAAAAAATGTAAAATGGAATTCCACTTCTGGTTATGGTGAACTAGGTACAGGCTGAGTATCCCTTATCTGAAATGCTTAGGACCAGAAATGTTTCAGATTTTTTCCATTTCTGGAATATTTGCAGAATGCATACTGGCTGAGCATCCCTAATCTGAAAATCCAAAGCCTGAAATGCTCCAAAGAGCACTTCCTTTGAGTGTCGTGCTAGGGTTCAAAAAGTTTCAGATTTTGGAGCATTTCAAATTTCAGATTTTCAGACTAGGAATGCTCAACAGGTAGTTTTTTTTTTGTTTGTTTTTTTTTTTTGTCTTTTGTCTTTTTCCGTGTCCAGCAACGGATCGCAACCCTCAGTGTTGCCCCCGTACCGGACCGGGGACCGGCAACGGGATCGCAAGCCTCGGTGTTGCTCCCGCGCCTCGCTCACCCAGAACAGGTAGTTTTGATCATCTAAAATCCAGAGCAAAGAACTTCTATACTTCTGCTTTAAGGCATCTTAGATATAACAAGGTCATAAAGAATTATGAACGTGAAACTCAAAGGTCAGTAATAAAGAAAGTAAGCCTGGCATTTAAAACTATTTTTGTGCTTGAAACATCTGTATTCATGAATATAGTCAAAAGAGTGCATAAAGGAAAATTTGTGGCCTAATGTGTATATTTTATAAAGGACTGAACAATAAGTTAATAAGCATCCATCTAGTGTTACTAGTTTCCAAGAATCAGAAAAAGAGCAAAATAAAAATGCAGAAGTAGAAAGAATAAGATATTAAACAATAAGAATTAATCAAATGGAAAACAAGCACATAATTCAGAGAACCAATAAATCTAAACAATGGTTCTTGGAAAAGACTAATAGAACTGATCAACCATAGCAAAATGCAATCTAAATGAAAATCTTAACAGTATTTTTGACTAGCTTATTTTAAAATTTATATGGAAATGCGAGAAAGGCCAAGAAACACTTGAAGATGGATCCATGTCAGAGCTGGGAAATCTTATTCGCTGGCACAAGAATCAACAAACAATACAGAATCTAGAAACAGATCACACATGTGTGATAAAGATGGTATTAAAGAGTAGTGGGGAAAGGACAGTCTTTTCAGTGTGTGGTACTGAGACACCTGGATGTACCTACAGTTGTGGAGGGGAAATCAATTTTGACACTCTTACCTCATTGCACACAAAAATCAATTTTATCTGGATTGAGGACAGATGTGAAGGGCAAAACAGTAAAGCTTATAGAACATTATATAGAAGAAAATCTTATGACTTCTGGTTAGAAAACAATGTTTTAAATACACAAAAATGCACTGACCATAAAGAAAAAAATTGAAGTTGGAATTCTTAAAAAATAAGAAGTGCTTATCAAAAGACATCACTAAGGTTTAGAGTATGTGGTGGTATCTAGAACACAAATAACAAAGAACTCATGTCCAGAACCTAGTTATGTCCACCAGAATGGTCAAAATTAAATAGTTTGAGAATCCCAAGAATGGAGACTATGTGGAGCAATGAAAACTCTCATGGACTTCTGGTGGGAGTGTACATTGGTTCAATGACTTGGAAAACAGCTGAGTTTGAAAACAGTTCAATATCACCTAATTTTGAATTAATATTATACTAATATTGAACATAAGCATACTGTGGTTCACAATTCCACTACTAGAATATACCCAAGAGACACATGCTCATATGCACTAGGTAGCATAGAAGGATATTCACAACAGCATTAACCATAACAGCTCAAAACTGCAGTAAAAGAATATATAAATTGCAGTATGCTCATGAAACAGAACATGGGTCAACAAACTATAGCCTGCAGGCCAAATGGGGCCTGTGACACACACAGCCCATGAGCTTAAAATGGTTTTTACATTTTGAAAGAGTAGTTAAAAAAAATATGCAACAGAAACCATAATACTTGGCCTGCAAAGCCTAAAATATTTACTATCTGGTCTTTCACTGAAAAAGTCTGCCAACTCCTGAAATAGAATACTATACAGCAATGATTATTAATTAACTATGGAAGCACTCAACAATATGGATTAATTTCGCAAAATAATACTGAGCAAAAGAAGCCAGACATAAAAAAAACCATTCTATTCTACAAAGCTAAAAAAAAAATCTAAAGTCAACTAGTATAGCCATTGTCAAAAACAGTACACACACTATTCAAAAACTAAAAATAGAGCTACCATATGATCCAACAATCCCACTACTGGGTATAAAAAAAAATCTAAAGTCAACTAGTATAGCCATTGTCAAAAACAGTATACACACTATTCAAAAACTAAAAATAGAGCTACCATATGATCCAACAATCCCACTACTGGGTATATATATTCAAAGGAAATGAAAGAGATATCTGAATTCCCATGTCATTTGCAGCATTGTTCACAATAGCCAAGATACAGAATCAACCTAAGTGTCCATCAACAGATGAATAGATAAAGAAAATGTGGTATATATACACAATATGGTCTATATACCACCTAGCCTTAAAAGAAGGAAAGCCTATCATTTACAACACATGGCTGATCTTTGAGGACATTATGTTAATGAAATAAGACAGACACAGAAAGACAAATACACACGATCTCATTTACATGCAGAATCTAAAAAAGTTGAACTTATAGAAGCAGAGAGTAGAATAGTGGTTACAAAAGGCTGTGGGAGAAAAGGGTTTGGGGAGATGGTTAGTCAAGGGACACAACATTTCAGATAGAAGAAATAAATATAAGAGATCTATTGTACAACTTGATAACTGTAGTTAATAGCAATGTGTTGTATTCTTGAAAATTGCTAAGACAGTAGATCTTAAGTGTTCTCAACAGAAAAAAATGATAAGTATGTGAGGCAATACATATGTTAATTAGTTTTATTTAGCCAGTCCACAATGTATACATATTTCAAAACATCATGCTGCACATGATAAATATATACAATTTTCATTTGCTAATTAAAATAAAACACCAATAATGAAATATTTGAAAAACAGATCAAGAAAGTAATCTCACTTACAATAGGTACCAAAAAATAAAATACCTAGGAGTAAATTTAACCAAGGAGGTGAAGGAACTCTACAACAAAAACTATAAAACACTGATGAAAGAAATTTAAAAAGACACAAATAAATGGAAAGCTATCCCCTGTTTATGTGTTGGAAGAATTAATAACACAAAATTCCATACTACCCAAAGCAATCTATAGAATCAATGCAATCCCTATCAAAATACCAATGATGTTCTTCACAGAAAGAGAAAAGACAACCTTAAAATTTGTATGGAACCACAAAAGACCCCATATAGCCAAAGCCATCTTGAACAAAAAGAACAAAGCCGGTCTGGCCCGTTAGCTTACTTGGTTAGAGCACAGCCTTATAATCCCAAGGTTATAGGTCCAGATCCCTGTACCAGCCGGCCAGCCTCAAAAAAAAGAACAAAGTTGGAGGAGTTACACTACCCTAACTTCAAAATACACTATAATGCTATAGTAACCAAAACAGCATTGTACTAGCATAAAAACAAACCATATAGAACAATGGAACAGAATAGAGAGCCCAGAAATAAATCCACACATTTACAGCTTTTACATACACACATTGCCCATTTTCAACAAAAGTGCCAAGAATATACCCTGGGGAAAGAACAGTCTCTTCAATAAATGGTGATGGGAAAACACTGTATCTCTCACCATACACAAAGATCAACTCAAAATGAATTAAAGATTTAAACTTAAGACCTGAAACTAGGAAACTACTAGAAGAAAACATAGGGAAAACACACACATAGTGGGAATGGGCAGTGCTTTTTTGAACAAGACTTCAAAGGCACAGACAACAAAAGCAAAAATTGACAAAGGTATTACATCATACTAAAAAGCTGCTGTACTGCAAAGGAAACAATCAACAAAGTGAAGAGACAACTAACAGAATGGGAAAAAGTATTTGCAAACTATGCATCTGACAAGGGGCCAATATCCAGAAGATACAAAAACTCGAACAAGGCGACAACAAAAAAACTGATTAAAAAATGGGCAAAGGAGCTGAAAAGATATTTCTCAAAAGAAAACATACAAATGGCCATGAGGTTCATGAAAAAGTACTCAACATCACTAACCATCTCAGGGAAATACAAACTAAAACTACAAATTTCACTCCAGTTAGAATGGCTATTATTAAACAGACAGAAAATAACAAGCACTGGCAAGGATGCAGAGAAGGGAAGCTCTCATACACTGTTGTTGAGAATGTAAATTAGTATAGCCATTAAGGAAAACAGTATGGAGATTCCTCAAAAAATTAAAAATAGAACTACCTTAGGACCCAGCAATCCCACTACTGGGTATTTATCCAAAGGAAATGAAACCGATATATCGAAGAGAGACCTGCACTCCCTTATTCACTGCCACACTATTCACAAAAGACAAGAGATGGAACCGACCTAAGTGTCTATCAATGAATGAATGGATTTTAAAAATGTGGTGTATATCAGTATATCAGTCCACACTATGGAATACTATTTACCTACAAAAAAAAAGGAAGAAATCCTGTTATTTGTAGCAACGTGGACGGAACTGGAGACCATCATGTTAAGTGAAGTAAACCAGGTACATAAAGACAAATACTGCATGATCTCACTCATACGAGCAGACAAGTAGAATCTTAAAAAAAAAAAAAAGCAGGGTGGGAGGAGTTCTCATTGAAGTAGAGAGAAGAAAAATAGTTAACAAAGGCTGGGAAGGAAAGGAGGGTGGAAGTGAGGGGAGGTGAATAGGTGGATTAATAGATACAAAGCTACAGGGTAGACAGAATAAGTTCTGGTGTTCTAGGATGACTGCAGCTAATAATATATTGTATGTTTTTAAACAGCTAGAGAAAAGGGTCTTCAACATAATCACCACAAAGAAAAGATAAGTGTTGAGGTACTGGACATACTATCCACCCTAAGTGAATCATTGTACAATATATGTATGTATTGAAACAACACACTGTGCCCCACAAATATGTACAATTAAAAATAAATAAAAAGAAAAATAAATAATTTTAAAGTTAAAAAAAATTAAAGTAAAAAAAGCCAAAAATGAAACTACAGTGGTTAAAGATGTATACTTATCCAAACAAGTATTCCGGATATGATAAGACCATAAAAAAGAACAACATAAAAAGGATAGTAGTTATTTCTAGAAGATGGAAACAGGCTACAGTTGGGAAGGGGCATACAGGGGCCAGAGTTATTCCAATGTTTTATTTACCTGGATGGTGATGACATGAGTATTCACTTTATAATACAATAAGCTCTACATTTATGTTGTATGCACTTTTCTCTCTGCGTGTGATATTTCACAATATAAGAGTTTGCTAAGACCCACCTTTTCATAATCTTCAGAAGTAAATTCTCGGTCTTTCTGAAGTATTTCATGAAGCCTTGCCTTCACACGTTGCTGACAACTGCTCAAAGAGTCACTATCACTATCCAAAAGACCATTCATATTTGCACTTTTCACCATCTGAACAAGAATGGGTGTGAGCTCTCCTTCTAGAGCTAATAGCCCCTAAACATATTAAATAAAGCCAACACAAATTTTAATAATTAATATGTAAAATAATAGAAAGTATCATAATAGGTATTTTGTTACATGCTGAATTTTATAAGATGTAAGATAACTATTTACAATAAATAAACCATATTAATAATACAGTTCCATCACTGCCACTGGAGGGCTTTAGTTGAAAGTTCCAAATTTGGAATTTTTAAGTATTGCCTTATTGCCTTAGTAAAAAATCTTTAAAAATGCAGTTTTAGATGGAAATTCTAATAATTCTAAAAATCATTTATTTATACCTTTGCAAAAGCAGCTGCAGTCATCTGGACTCGTCCTTCATCAGAGGCATATATTTTGAGGTCATGTCGGTAGGTGCTATGTAATCTAAGTAAACCACAACCAGGAAATCCTGCATAATCTCCTGAAAATAAATCCTCAAATCACTTAAGCTATATTTCCATCTCACTGTATTTCTATAAATATTTAGTAACGTCACAAAGTAAATGAGGATTTTAAAGCACGATGTTTGAATTTAGTCAAATTAAAGAAACTCCAAGCTTTACCTTGACCTCCAGGATACATACACCTGAAAGCTCTTCCAAGTTCTTCAGCCTGCACCCTGCCTGCAGGGGTTAATTCTCCTCCCCATTTTAGAACCAAAAGTAAGGATGGTTCTTCTCTTCGGCTGTCTACAACACACATGAATGGATAATACAAATGTTAAGTTTGTTTCTTTAAACAGACATGTCTCGAGATTAATTTTTTTTCTCTATGCTCTCTTCCATAGTGGAGTATAACCCATATGTAAATTATTATGTTCCTTAAATGTACCTATTGTTGTAGGCTGTTGCTTCTATCAAAATATCCCTTGTTCTTGCCTGTTAGAATTTTACTGAAATTTCAAAATCTCTTTCATACTTTAGGAAGGATTTCAATTTTCTGAAGGGAAGTGTTGCTTCTCCCTTTCCTGCTCTCATAACGACTTGTCCAATGTGTTTAATTTAGTTATGCTATATCTAGAAAAAGTATAGAAATAGGTAAATAGCTATATCTGCTAGATTAAGAACTCCTTGATTCCAGGATACAGATCTTATCTGTCTTTACATCAAGTGCCTTCTGCAGTGCTGTCAAATAAAAGGAAATATGTTAGCTGAAGTGAAGAAGATACATTTGTTTTTATGATTAAAAATCAGTGATGTACATAAGTTTTAGGCAGATTTGAGATGTCAGAGCCTAACATTTATTCTAATTTGAATTCTATGCAATCTAATAAATTTTATGCAAAACAATAAAATGTAGTCAAGAGCAGCTTATTAAAATTTGGAATTCTGGAATCTTTGTATGTCCTAGATCAGAATATTTCTCAGACATGGGGGAGGTACCATAAGTGAATGAGTTTCTGTACTTAATTTTAACCTGCCCTTTATTGTGGTATTAAGATCTATGCTGGATTTTGGAAACAAAGGTAATTTAAAAACAAGCAGTATAAGCACTAAAGTGATAGAAAATCACCCTTTCTCTTGGGGCAAATTAGCAGTTTTATGTGCATTACCATGCAGGCCAACATTAATTTATGGAAAGACAATTAGTTAGTTTTTTTATTATATTTGTTTATAAAATGGTTTTGATTATAAACATCAAGATATAAGAAATTAATCTGTATTGCTATTAATCACAAAGTGTGACAAGAAAGTGACATGTCAAATGTTAAAATATATAAAGGATAACATATTCAAACTTGTGTCTGCATTTAAGGTAGTCATTACTTTAATTTCTGCTACTATAAATAATGCCACTGTGAATATCCGTATAGATCAATCTTTCCCTGAACATCTCATTACTTCCTTGGCATAGATTCTTACAAGCAGAACTAAAGTCAAAGCATAGAAACATTTTTTTAAGCTTTTGATATATATTGCCAAATTTCTTTTCAAAAAGTTGTGCCAGTTTATACTTTTACCAGTAGACCGAAAATCTGTCACAATATATTCTCATCTGCAGTCTTTATTACTAGTTTAAAAAAAAGAAAAAAAAATCATTATTGGCCATCTGAATTTCTCGATGAAATGACTTCCCCAATCCCTGGCCATTTCTCTCTCTCTCTCTCTTTTTTTTTTTAATAATTTTTTTTGAGGCTTCTTTTTGATGGCAGAATAGATGGTCCCCAGCATCACCCTCCCCCACAAATTAATAAATTTACAACTATTCAAAAGCAATGACAGCCAAGCTGGGGCCACTAGAGCTCAGGGGAAGAGGAGGAGAGATCTACGGAGTGCAGGAAGGCCAGAGAAGCCACAATGAGAGAAAGAAAAAACCTCTCTGACCGTTTTGAGCCCCGGCCGCTTCCAGGCTGGAGCTGCTGAGCACACAGAGTAGGAGCTGGCAAAAGCTGCCGCTGTGCCCTTCAGATAAAGTTGCTTGGAAGTGGTAACAACTGAAAAAAGAGCCACACAGAGGTCTGTCAGTCATCACAAGGGACTGGCGTACAGCCTATCCCCTGAGAAGTGTTTGTAGCACTGGCAGCTGGGGAGACTGGCCCACCAGGAGAACACTGGGACACAGCAAGGACAGCTGATTTGTCCCCCAATCAGTGTAGGGCCACTCGGAGGAGACTGGACAGGAATATAGAACTGCCTGGGGTGCAGTTTGATGAAAAGACTCAGGCCCAGACCAGTGTTTCTAAACAACCCAGGTGCATTGGATTTCACTAAACCCAGAAGTCCTATAAAGTCAACCATTAAAACCTGAGCTGCACAAAAAGCCTTCCCCAGGGAATCAACAGCAAAGCAGCAATTTAGCTCAACCACAAAGCTCCAGTACTGGTCCCCACTGGAAGTTCCCCGATTTTAGAAATAAGCAAAAGACAGCAAATTAGTTCTAGTGCAGAGTTTAAGTAGTGGGAAGAGCAAATAATCCAACACAGAACTGAAAGAAAAAACAGAATACCCACAACCAGAGACAAAGTTTGTTATTAACTAGTAAAGGTCTCATTTCACCAAAGAACACCTATAAAACCCAGAAGTAGCCCTGGGCTACTAAGCCAGAAAGGGGGGACAACCAGGCACACCACCAGTGCCATGGGGCCTGCCCAGGGTCCTGAGGCATGGAGCAGAGGACCAGACCCTCCTCCTACAACCATGCACACTGCCAGCACCACAGGGCCCACCTGGCGTCTTGAGGTATGGATCCAGGAACCAGACCCCCTCCCACAACCAGGCACACCACCATCGGCACCACCAACTAGGTAAGGAGCATGCCAAAAACATCACCTCCATGTAGGTGGCCTACCACAGCCACCACAATAACCACATCTGCCGCAAAAGTGGCTAGATGCCAGAACCACTGTGCAGATGATCTGCCAGCCACTGAAGTGCATTGACACAAGGAGAGTCACCAGAAGAGACCAAAAAAAAGAAGAGGATGTCTATCTCCACAAAGCTCATCCTAGAGTGACAGAAGAAGCATGTGCTTTACAATAATATTGGGGGACCTGAACACACCTCTCAGCATTGTGACAGATCATCTAGGCAACAAATCAACAGAGTAACCATAACTCTTTCAGAAGGAGAGAAGAAATCTAGGGTAATTAGAGGGGGGAGAGTGAAAGAGATGGGGAGAGAATGGACAAGGGGCATAAAGAATAAGCATAATTTGTAACAATATATATCTAGTAATATTGATTTGATCAACATATGTCAATGCTGAACCCCAAAAATCTGCATAATCAAGTATGATTCAATAAAAATTAAAAAGAAAACAAAACAGCACCACACTCTAACCAACTGAGCTAACGGGGCAGCTCCCCTACCCATTTTTCTTTTGGAAGGTAAATGAATTTACAGACTTTTGTGCTGACTGCTCTTAGGAAATCAACCTTGTTTAAATGCATATTCTGGTTTATTGGTTGAAGAAAAACATCAATTTATTTTTGAAATGTGTTAATTGTGATTTTCTCAAATGGTCTTTTTGTACTTCTTGAGCTTTCTTCCTATACTCTGCCCTCTTCCATCAGAAGAAAGGGGCCCATTAAATAACACTTAGTTATAAATAAATAAGCTTTCTGAAACAATCCCAGAGTAAAAGGGAATTCCTAAGCAGCTTTTAAAATAATACAATCAATTCTTTACTTAGAAGTTAAAGAATAAAATCTATCCTTTATCTAAAGAATAGAAGGCGCAATTAATGAACCTCTACTTTATTTTTCCTTTATTCAGCATGTCAGTCCCTAAACTATTAAGCAAAAGATCCAAAGGTAATCAACAATGAGTAGTAAGTCACTACATATAAGTAAAACACAATACCTTCCTCTTCACTAGATGTTTTAGGACAACCATGAGGCAGATAGGTCAACTGAACTTTACGATTTATTCCAGAAAAATGGCCATACCTAAAAAATAAAACAGCAAGCAAAATGAACAATATTCAGTAAGTGTTGATGTGACCTCCTAAAGAAAAAAACAAAATCCATGTAGAGAAAACTAATTCTCACATATTAATACTCACTTCTATTTGTAACTGCCTTGCTGAATTATTCAAAATATCCTAGCAGAAAATCTGTACCACAGGTGGTCATTCTACCCACATTAAAAACAAAAATACAAAAAAGTTTTTCTACAAAAGTTAGACAATTCTCAAGAAATAACAAAGTAGAGAAATAGGTAAAAATATAAATGTATGTGTCTTTAAAAAATAAAGGAGAAAGGATATGTATCTACATATGGTCAAACATGTAAAGCGTATAACAAGAATATTGCTGAGTACCAATCTTTCTTGATTAAGGCATAGTTCGAAATATTTTAATTTAAAAAGCACTGAATTTGTGGACAAATTAGCAATATGGTGTTCGCTGGAAGCAGTACATCATAGAAGATCCAAATATGATGTCTTCTTTTAATCTTCTCATCGATATCAAATGTAAAACTAAAATAACAACCTTCAATACAACAATCTGTTTTCTCACATTAGATTTTCACTTATTTCTTCACAGCTACAGTGATAAAGAGCAAAAAGATCAAACTGTGAAGGAAATTAAAATGGAAAATCACACATAGGAAAAAAGGAGACTACAACTAGTTATCTTAAGGGTTTCTCAAAGACACTCACATCTCTAATACGGTCTTCAGTTGTTCAAGTTTTGGCTTATTTTCTTCAATTTCAGAATCATTATTTTTCCCTAGCTCCATAAGAAGTTGCCGTGCACTACAACTAGTTATCTTAAGGGTTTCTCAAAGACACTCACATCTCTAATACGGTCTTCAGTTGTTCAAGTTTGGGCTTATTTTCTTCAATTTCAGAATCATTATTTTTCCCTAGCTCCATAAGAAGTTGCCGTGCAATATCCAGCACTTCCTATAAAATAAATTAGTAAATAATTAATTTTTTTTATAATTTCACCATTAAAAATTTAAAACTCAATAAGAAAGCAAATATACTTGCCTGTAATTGTTTTGGCTTTTTGAGTTTTAATTTTCCTGATTTATATCCATCACACTTTTCAAAAAGATCAAAAAATCTTATAAAAAAGACAGAGCCCTGTTAGTTACTCACAATAATTAATATTACCACAATGTATGTAAACTAATTAATAATAAATGATAAATATGTGGCTAGAACTCGGGGTCTATGGATTTTAAGTGCTGTTTCCTCTTTCATTAAAACATGTAGCTTTTCTACTTTGAGAAAACTTAGTACTTTCCTAAACCATATAAAACTAATAATTACCATATTACTTTAAAAGGCTTTCTCATTGTGGATACTGAACATGAAATTATAATACAAAATATTATATATTCTCTGAAGTCACTGCATACACATTAAAAATACCTGTGTCAACAAATATTTAATGGGTCAGGTTTTCAAATTTTATTATCTCCAAATAAAACACCAAACAGAAATAACAGAAACTTTCATTCTACTAATTTTCTTCTAGAAGGTTGAGAGGTTAATGACTCTCAGAATTCAACACTAAAGAATGATAAAACAAGATTAAAGAGAACACCTTTATGACAATAAATGAAAGCCAGATCAGGCTGATGATATTTACAGATATCACTACAATAATTTTCAGATGCTGACATATATAATTCTTTTAAATGGATTTTGTATGCATCCAGTGGTTTAAATATTAATGGCCAAGATATGGTAGGTAAAAGTTTTACTGTATAATGTATAAATCAAAGAGCTTATCACATATCAGAATCTTAAAATTATAACATGAATGATAAATTATTCCTCTTAAAACATACTTTTGATGCCTCACTTCCATTTTCATTTTTTGTTTTGGTGTTCGATCCCCATGACGTATGACAGCTATGACACATCTAAGTTCCATCCTAAAATGAAAAAAAAAAGTTCTGAATTCTCTAACAAAGATTTGTGTTGTATAATTCAAATTAACACAATGTCTAATCATTTATTTAGTACTATCTTTTACCATTTCAAGATCTTCCCCATGAAGAATAGTACTTACATAAATCTAGTCTTAATTTTATTAAATCAAATCATAAAAATAATTTAAAAAGCTGGAGGAGAGGTGGTGATATGATATGATACACTTTCTTCTTTAGAAATGACTATGTTCACTTTGGAATAAAAGCAAATTGACTATCAATCCCTGAAAATTTATCCTGAAGCATTAGATCATTATGGACTGAGATTTCATTAAATTAAATCAAAATAAAGCTTTACATGATGGCTGCTATATTTATATACTTGCTATAAAGTATTTTGTCCATGTAAGAAGTAGTATTTAAAATTCAAATTATTTGACGAAGTTGTCAACCACAGAATATTACCCTGCAGTATATTAATAAAGTTACCTGAAAAAATTTTGTGTTCAGAAAATTTGGAAAACGTTGGTTTAAAAACAGAATTAAATAGTTTTCCCCCCTCAATCAGGACTTCTCAGAAATTTAACAGGCTAACGTAAATCTGTAAGCTGTAAATATGACACATTCAGTCAACTCACCTGACTTTTGAAGGAATAATTTTCATTAGTACAATGTTATGAAACACTTTGGCAATACTGGTCTAATGAATTCACTTCAAGGTATAACTTGAGAAGAGCCAAAGGGGCATGACCACTGTGAACCTTTAAGTAATGCTATTAACTGGCACCTCTTTTACTTTTATGGTTTGATTAAATAGTTCTATAATTATCGAAGCATATTTCAGAATTTTATTTCTAACACTATAAAAGATTTTAAGTCTAGTGGATCCTTGTAAAAGCATATAATCTCTTCGAATGACTTCAAACTGAATCACATGAAAAAATACACAATAAAGTGTCTAACAATCATTCAGAAATTTAATGTTTACTGTAATAGCACAGATTGATGGGGTAAAACCTAAGAAATTTCTAAATAAAAAATAATTCAAACTTACATAGTTCCAGATGTAGTTGGTACAATTGGGATATCTTCAGCTTCTAAGGGTATTGACCAGGGGATATGAAATTGTGGAGCAAGCTCTCGCATTACAGTATTTCTTTGAGACAAAGAGAAAAAAAAAAGCTTAGTTCTTTTTAAGACAAAACTGGGTACTTAATGACACTGAGAGAGAATGATAAGAGTTCAAGTCAGTATTTCTTTGAGACAAAGAGAAAAAAAAAAGCTTAGTTCTTTTTAAGACAAAACTGGGTACTTAATGACACTGAGAGAGAATGATAAGAGTTCAAGTCAAACTATCTGGTGATTACATCACATTAAAAGTAACCCAAAGAATCAATCCTGATCAAGAAAAATTAAGTCAGCAGTTCTAAATTGGAGTATCAGAACACACCGATGGGATCTCAAAACTTTGGGATTGTTTAGTTATTCACATTAGTTTTAAAACATAAATCAACAGTGGATTCAAATAAATCACTATAATGATATCATATCTAATTATATACATTCTGGAATCCGAGACTGTCTCTTCTGTGTGGCCAATGATAATTTCTCATCAGTTTATTGAACACCTATATAGCTATTCTAAATATCATGCTCATTTTTAACAAATCACTCTTATACTAATAGGGTTAACAATGCAAACATGTTTAAGTAAGTATAATACTTTTTTGTTTTGTCTAAATTTAGCATTTATTCATGCTAAAATTTAGTAAACTACCACCAATTTCACTTTAAGGATAAGTTCACAAAATTGAAACATACGATAAAAGCTGACTCCAATTATTAAACATTTTAAAGTGTAAGTTTCCTATGGCTCTGTCATATATACTTTGAAATGTCTTAAAAACGGTTCTTGCGGGCCGGCCCAGTGGCGCACTGGAGAGTGCGCCGCTTGGGAGCGTGGTGGCATTCCCGCCGAGGGTTCTGATCCCATGTGGAGACCGGTTCCTGCTCACTGGCTGAGCGCGGTGCGGGCGCGACACCGAGGGTTGCGATCCCGTTACCGGTCAGTAAAAAAAAAAAAAAAAGACAAAAAAAAAAAACGGTTCTTGCTTTGCAAGTCTTCTGAATCAAGATAAAGGAAATAGGTTGAAAAATGTAAAAATGGTGTTTCTATATGCAATAATTTCTTTTACATTCACTTGATAATCTTATGAGAATATCTTCAAATAACATATGCTTGTAGAAAGGATCATCATGCAAAAGAATCCTATATTCCAAATATTTCTATTTTACTCTGGTCACTTATTTCATGAATGTTAATTTTGTACCATTAAGTGAGGTAATGAAACCTTTTCAACCATAATTATACAACAAAAACTTGAGGAACAAGGTATTATAATAAATAAGTCGTTTTGATTAATAATCACCATGTTACAGAATTTCCAAATCTATGAAGTTAAAACACCTTAAGGCCTTCATCTATACTGGTCATAAAATAATCTGTCTTTGATAACCCAAAGTATAATTTAGGATCTGGCATAGTCTCGGATGTCATTTCATGAACATTGACTTTTACACAAGAATGCTTTAAAAATCCTGATCATTTAATGTTAACAATTATTTGATTTCTGAATAACTAATATGCAAAGGTAGAGAGAGGAGAAGTAAAATTTAAAATTCTTACCCAAGTATTTTTGCACAATCATCATAATACTTCATGGAATTTTTCACAAAACTGAAGCCATTGACATCACAGACATAAGACTGTCCATTGGCCCGTAACAAATCAAAGCCACAAACTGTTTGCTATTTAAAATAAGTTACAAACGTTAAGGTTTCATTTAAATCAAGATTCACAGCTTTCCAGTCTTATTAGAACATGAGAAATTTTTATGTCTAAAAGTGTATTATTATATATCGATTTACTTCATAGTAAGTAAGAAATAAAAGAAATTACTTATTTCCAACTTGAGGATGCTGAAGATACATCATATGTGCTATATCATTATTTTGGTTCTTATCATGAAGTAGATGTAGAACAATAATGCATAAGGGGCTATAGAGCTCAAAAAATAACATATTGTATCAAACAGTTCATCAATTAACATTTAATTAAAAAACAAAAGCAATTATTTTAAAGGTTTCGACAAATAAATTCTGCATGACCAAAAATTATATCACTTTAATTCAAAAGAAAAGAAAAAAATAGTTTTGAAGACATATCCCAGGGGAAATATCCAGTTATCCCTGTGAACCTTTTAACTCCTGACAACCACATATTGTGAGCACCTGAAATAAATTTTCTTTATTAGGAGAAGAAAATGGCTAAAGGTATAAATTCCCTGCTTGGGCTTTAAGAACTTTCTGATCTACATTTTATGTTCAAATCATCACATATTAGAATAATGTAATTCTAAATCACGGCTTTTGTAATCCTGTCATAACAAAACTATTAATACTTATTTACAGACTAATATTCCTTCCATGAAAGAGACTTCAAATCATTAAGGCCCAAAGTATTTCTTTATTTAATAACCAGTAATAAAGACTAGTCTTTAAATTATAGATACTAGGCAAGATTTCAAAAAGGCAAAATTTATCCTTTATAAAGTGCAGGCTATACTACTTCTATTTAAATCTTTCCTATAAGTAGTTAGATAAAAACCTAATAATATATGCTAATTAGTCAAGTTAATTAAGAGAATTAATCAAATGTCAGAAGTAAAACATTTTCTTTAAAAAATATACTTATATTGCTTTCATGAACATATTTTTATCATATATTAGGTCAAAGAATTGATTACCAAGGCTAGAACACTGAAGACTTTTAATCAACAAAAATCTAGTGTCGATTCTATGAAGGTACTACTCATAACCAATTTTCAATAATGTTAGACAATACCCCTAAACACTGGTTAGTTGAGTTGTTCTCTATAATTTTAATTTCTGAATAAATTGACAAGATTTCCTTTTATATAGTATAGAAACAATATATTGGCACTACACAAATCCCTTCACAAGTGCATGTACCATTCAGATACACTAATACATTCTCAGATTTCTTTCTCAATTATAAGCCCAAATAACATTTCTCACTCAAAAAACAAAATTAGAATTATTTTTACAATGCTGTATATATGGCTTATTTAACATCTTACCTTAAAAGCAAGGCAGACTTTCCAGGCAATTAATTTCTCTCGTGCATTAAGAATGACAGGGTATCTTACTTCTTTTCCTTCACTATCTCGTTCCACCTTACCATCAAGTGCTGGAGATTTTCGAGCTTCAGCATGGGCATAATCTGGACCCACTGTATAAACCTTTCATGAATGTTAAATACACACATGAATATATATTTATGTATATATATAAAAAATAAGATGAAAACAAATCAAAAACAAATAATCAAAAAATAGTTCAGACTCCACATACATCTTTCTATTTTACATGCCAGAATTTTCAATACATTAGGAAACATTTTAAGTAATTATATGACAAAATTGGTAAACTGTGGCTTCATTCTCCATACTGAGCATTATGAGGGAACACTAGGATGGATAAGATGTGATCCCTCTCCTCAAACTGTTTTAATTTAACAAGGAAAGATACGAATAACTACAAAACATTATAGAAGAAAAAAACTGCCAAAAGAAAGATTTTAAAAGGGGTGGGGGCATAGATCCTAATGAAAAGACAAGGAAAGTGAAAGGCACTCTAACCAGAAGTAATAAACACAAGTACAGAGGTATGAAACAGCTTGATCTATTTGGTAAAACCAAATTATTTGATGAAGTTTATACTGTAAAAAATTAGGTTTATAAGACAGATAGAAGACAAGACTGTGAAATATCTTGTATGCCAGGCTTATGAATCTTGTTCTTAATCCTGTGGTCAGTGAGGATCCACTAGGGAATTTTAAGGATAGGTTCATGATCAGATTCACACTTGAGAAAGAACACTATGGTTAAAGAGAGACTGGCTGAAGGTAAAGCAATTAAGACCTTACTTGTCTCTAGTTGAAATCACAGACATTTTTATATCACATTACAGTTGTCACATTTACTCAAAACATCATTTACACTAATGACTGCTTTGAAACTGTGGTGGCTATTAGACCCTTACTCATATTTTGTTATTTAATTCCCTTTTAAAAAAGCATATACATTATTATATCACACAACTGATTTTTAAATATTTCGATAACTATACTTCTATAAAATCTGTCTCCTTTATGATCCTGTGTGTTTTATTTTAAGCATTAAAGAACACTATTTTTAAAAAAGGGTCCACAGTCTTCAGACTGCCAAAGGTGTTCATGGTATAAAACACATTAAGAATTCCTAATCAAAAAGAAAGTGATCCAGAATCAAGTTTAGATATATGTAGCTAGTTAAAGGGTGCTCTCTTTTTCTGAGAGCACTGATAAAAGCAAAATCTATTTTAATCAATCCTACCTTAACATCAATACCACCCTAAGTACAAAATTAAGATATACTTTAATCAATCCTACCTTAACATCAGTACCATCTGTGGGCATAAACTCTTCATATATATATGAGCCTGTTTTTCGTACGTTGCTTTCTGGGGAATAAACACTACTTCTACTGCCAATCTGAAAACAAAAGATGCCCATCAAAATAAAAACTGAATTATTCCTCTCATTTTTATAATATAATCCTTGTTTACCATCTATTAACATCTTAGGAATTTTCAAATAAATTTTTTAATCCAAAAATATTTAACAATGCTTACTTTGTACTTGGCATTATATTATTCTCTGCTGTCAGTGAAACTTGTATGTAAATTGAAGAGCATAAAAATATAATGAACACTAAGAATTATGTTTCTAAGATTGATCTATGTTGCTACATGTAATTCAAGTTTGTTCATTTTTACTACTGTAGAATCTTCCACTGTGTAAATACTCAAGAATTCATCTATTCTCCTATCAATGTGTGTTTGTTTTCCAAGCTTTGACTGTTACAACAATGTTGCTTTGAACATTTTTGTAAGTGTCCTCATGGCACATGTATACAAGAGAGTTTCTAAGGTATAAACTAGAAGTGGAATTGCTAGGTGACAGAATATGCTCACACTTAACTTACAAAGATAAACTATTTTAACAATTTATAGAGTCTCATCATCAATGTACACTGTCTACATTCTTGTCTATACTTCCTATTGATAGACTTTTTAATGTTTGCCACTCTGATAGATAGTAAAATGGTATCTTGTGTTCATTTGCATTTCCATGATTGTTTATAAATGTACATGTATTTTTAATTCTGAAACATTGCTAAATTGTGTTGCTAAGAGGCTACACTAATTTGTGTTGCTGTCAAAAATGTTTGGGCTTGTGTTTGTTTCTCAACTACCTCAATATTTTTGATCTTTGCCAATCCAAAAAGTAATAACCATATTATATTTTAGATTTGATTTGCATTTACTTTATTATGGGTACAATTAAGCATACTTTCATGTACATAAAAGTTACTAGTACTACTTTTTCTATGAATTCTATTTTTCTGGGCCATTTTTCTAAAAGACTGCTTATTTTAACTGAATTTCTAGTTTGACAGATATACAAACTAGAGGGAGGAAGAAGAAAAATCATGTAACTTTCCTGGTATCCTGTAGGCAGGAATTTTGCTTAACAACATTAAATAGCTAAAATGATGCCTTGCTTTTCTAACAAGTATGATATCAATTTTATGAGTTTATCGCTAAATGATACATTTTCAAGAGTTTAATATTCAATAACATTTATTTATTAAATGCTTACTTTTAATAAAATTGATACAATAATGTATGAAGAATACTATTCACACAAAAGTTATGAAGGTTTACCTTTCTAAAGAGTCTTTGACTGCCACCACCAGCAGAGGTTGGATAATAAATGTAAACATTGTGATCTTCTGCACTGACTGGCTTTTCTACAAATGGCTTTTGGAAAACTTCCCCATTTACTTCAACATGATCTTCCCCTTCAATCAGATTACATTCTATAAATCAAACATAATAGCAAGAAAAATTACATATTGTATTATATCTAGATACCATATTATTACAGAGGCCTTTTTTTACTAGAAGAGAGATCATTAAGAAAAGTAATCTTGGATAATGCATTTACTTGATTTTAATCAAAGATATTTATGCAAACATATACCAACATCTATGATATACATGGGATTAAGAATGAAAGCTGTTTTTCAAAATCTTATGGACTTATCATTTTACACTACCATGCCACAGAATTCAAAGTTTAAAGCTGTTTTTAAAATCTTATGGACTTACCATTTCACACTACCATGCCATAGAATTCAAAGTTAGATATGAAATGATGCCATCAAGAAAGACTGAGAATAACTCCAGAATGCCACCATCTTCTGAAAAATGTGTGGGATCATACTAATACTTGAAATTCAATAGTCATAGATAAATCACTTGTTTACCCCTAATCAATATAAATTTACTAAACATGTAATTTCAAAATTCTTCTTAATGATTCTCAGAGGTATGTCAAATGTAGATCAAAGAATAGGACAGATAACTCTTAAATTATTGGTTAGCATTTTAGCTCAGTGGCACATTTTAATGTTTGTTTTTAGGCCATTTTTAAAAAACTGAATAGAATACTATGAATTCTTCAAGTTCCTTCCATTTAATTATTGTAAGATAGTGGCTGAAAAGTCTCTTGAGTTGCAAAAGGCAGTTTGCTTAAAATCTCTTACTGTTACCTTTGGGATTATTTGGGTCACGGTTCAAAATCGCATATCGAGGAAGTAAAATACCTTCAGCTTGAAGAATACTATATACTTCTCTCCTAAAGAAAAAGAAAAAACATCTTTATTGTTTTACTGTTCTATTTCACAATGAGTATATTATTATACTGTTCTTAAAGTACATTATTACAGTTCTACTAAAATTGGTATGTACATCAAGCTTTTTCTTTTAAATAAATATATGCCATTTCAAATATTAAAAAAATATATTCTAAGGAGAACAAAAATTTATGCACAACACTGTTTGTAGCATATTAAAATACTAATTTTGAAAAGTGAGAATATAAATTATAAAAAGAAATGGGGGCCGAGCCCGTGGCGCACTCGGGAGAGTGCGGCACTGGGAGCGCAGTAGCGCTCCCGCCTCGGGTTCGGATCCTATAATAGGGATGGCCAGTGTGCTCACTGGCTGAGCGCAGTGTGGCCAGTCTCAAAAAGGACACACAAAAAAAAAAAAAAAAAAAATGAAATGGTTAAAGTTGTTATATCACAATGACAGAATATTACCTAATCGTTAAAAACCTTATGCTCAAATAATATTTAACGACATGGGGAAATGTTCAGAGTATGCTAAGAGAAAAGTGATTCTAATTTTGTAAAATGTGAGTACATGTATGCTCTGCTTTCTAAATGAAAAATATTGTCGATGAGGTAACAGGATTAGATGGCTTTCTTTATGCTTTTATTTTTCAAACTTCTTAAAATAAGCATGTATTTTTACAGTATATTTACATATTTATAATAGATAAACATACACTAATATGTAAACCTAAGAAAAATGTTTTAAATTTTTAGATATTAATGTTACTCTCCACAAAAATAGAACAAAAACAGAAAAGCAGAGAAACTATAAGGTCTCATACTTTATAAGCATTTTCATATACATAATCTCATAATCGTAATGGTAATATAAAAGAAAACAGAATGCTGGTGAAACTGTAATATTATAATAGTAGCGATTAGAGTGCAACAACAATTAAATGAAATATATAAATATGCTCATATTTTATAATTTCTCTTAGAAATCCATGCTTTTACCCTATTAAGTAAATGCTAAGATATAGTGAAATATTTTTCAAAATGGGTATACTTTGCCATTAAAAAAATCTAGTTATAATGAGTTAAGTCCTAATTTAATCGTCAGGCACATAACAGAAAAATTGTTCATAATTTTCAATGATTTAGTAGTCTCTGGAAATTAAACAAATCTGGTTTGTTGTCCCACTACTTGGGGAACTACTTGTGACTTTGGGCAAATTAACTATCTCTCTGATTCTCAAGATTCCTCACTTATAAAAATTAGGTAACAAATATCTATTTCTGAGTATTATTTTGAGAATATAATGAATTAATGTATGTGATAACACCTGATGTAACATCAGCATATATTAGGTACTAAATAAATGTTAATTTTCCTTCCTTTAAATCACCAACTTTGCAACTCACCTATCTTGTATGAGATACTGCATATTCAAGTCATTGATTACAAATGGATTCCTGAGTTTTGCATAGGCAACTGCTTTGTCCAGTGGAAATCCTAAGAACACATATTATTAACATACTCTGTACAATCTCAAGATTAAGTTGATATCTATAATTTATCAAATTGAATTGGTGCCACCTCCCATAAAAGAATAATCACATTATGCACATACTGCCTTCTATAAAAGGTATAGAATATATACTCAAACATAAACCTTCATTTAACTTAAACTATTAAATCTTATTTTTTCCTAGTTAATTCCTAATTGATAAGGCACAGCAAGCCAGTAGCTATACAACCAAATTTAGAGTACTGTTAGTCAATGCTTGACTTCAAATTTGCCTGATAAAAGGTAAGATTACCTCATATACAAAGAGAAATCTACATAAACTTAAGTGTATCACAATTACCTGGTGATTTTTAAAAAATGTATACAACTCCTTTTCATTTAGGTATTTGACGCCTATACATATAAATTAGCTGATATTCAAAGAATGATGCAGCTTTAAAAACAGCAGCAAAAGCAAAACAATTCACATACAACAGATATGCTCAAAACATAGAAAACATCAGTGGAATCATGCTGTTGCTGGGTCAGTGTTAACATACCAGAAATTAACTCCCTAAAATTTCTAAATTTTGGTGAAAGTACTAATTACAACAAAAACAAATCAAAAGGCAGATACGGTAAGAAGAGGCCTAAAAAACTTCTAAAGAATTTTAATGATTATATTTTACTCTCCATATTAACACTAAAAGTCTCCAAATTTATCCATCAATACACATTATCAGGAGACACAGTATACCATAGTCATTAAGAGCATAAACCAGTGCTCAAATATTTCACTAGCTATAAGACCCTGGGCAAATTTATTTAACATCTCTAAGCCTCTGAGACCAGCTGTGAATGACTATTATACCAGACTTACCTACCAGGGTTTTTGAGGAATTAAATAAAAGAGTGTATAGAAAGCACTTAGCACTGTACCTACTGTAGTTAGTGCTCAATAAATGTAACCTCTTATTACTCCTTAAATGACAATATTTTAATGAATAGTATTCCTACAGAAAAGGGTAAAAATCAGCAAGCAAGAATAACTTCGGGATTTAACTATAAAATACTAAGTATTCTACACATGTGAAGATACTGTATTTTACAGAATTATCAGATAGGAGAAAAAGCATTAAAGCATGCTGAAGTTAAAACAAAATAAAACAAAACAAAATACTATGGTCAGTTAAACAAGATTTATTCCTAAATTCCTCTTAGTTTTAAAAATTTAAATAAAAATACTGTGCACCAAAAATCACTTGACCACAAATCACAAATCCTTCAAGTTTTATAAAGACTCTCAGAATTTTATCACTTCTAAAGATGTCTCAATGTCTATGATTTGAAACCTCCTAATAGAATTCAGCAAATAGAAAACACCCACATAGTGAGTTCCTTGCTTGTTGTTAAAGAGGAACTTTTTTCTTACCAAGAGACAGTATACGGGAAATGACCTTAGATACAGCACCTAATTTCTACAGGCAAATAGCTTTTACAGGAAGAACCACGTGATGGTAAGGGAAGAACACCTTCCCCTAAAGGATAAACCGATTTTAAGGTTCTCCAAAATGAGGGGCCTTAATCTGCAAAGATCACAGCCCTGGCTTCTCTATGAAATAATGTAAATCAATTTAGGCAATGAGAGCACAAAAAGTCTCAACCATGCCCGATCTTCTTCCTGCTAAAATGAGACTTAAACACAGATCAGAACTACATATTTAGGTACCAAGTGATGATTAAGTATGAAAACATTTATAACTGAAAGCGCATCTTTTAAATTAAAGTTATGAGTGGGAAATTCACTTGTTTCACAGATTCCTTTTTTTGGGGGGGGGGGCGGGCGCTTGCTGGTAAGGGGAATCTCAACTTTTGAGTTTGGTGTTATCGGCACCACACTCTCTTAAGTGAGCTAACTAGCCAGCCCATCATAGATTCTTAGGTTACACATTTTCAGATATATACTTAGCAATAATTTTAATGAGTAGACTTTACTATGAAGTAATACTTAATTGATACTTCAGTTTGATTAATAAAAGATAGCAAGTAAGATCTAAAATCTCAAATATTAAGTTCTTAAGAAATGAAGCTTGAATATGTATATGAGGAATGACAGATCATTTTCTATATGGCAAAAACATAAGGGCTTAAAATATTCAAGAATTCAAGAATTTATCCAAAGAAACTTAGAGATGCAAACAAAGATATACATGCAAAGAGTTCATCACAACCTTATTTCTAATAGTCAAAACTGGAAACCATCCAAATGTTAGAATATTAAATATGTTATGGTGCCATCCACACAATGATAAACTATGCCACCATTAAAAATTGGTTTTTAAAGAATAAAATGGAGGGGGAAAAAAGATCTGGATATAATAGTGAAAAAAAGTTAAATGTAAAATTACACATGTTATGATTCTAAATTTAGAAAAAATGCACACAGAAGAAAAAGACTGGAAAGAAATATATATAAATGTTAACATCACTTATCTATGAGAGTGGCTTACTTTAATTTTATTATTAATATGTATTAGTTTTATAATCAGAGAGAATAAAGGGATTTCTCCCTCTTCTTTAGTACCTTTAGAATGGAAAGAAATAAGACAATCACACAAAGGCCAATTTTCCACTGGTTCATTTAAAATAACTTCCTCTTCAAATACTACTACTGTGATATATTTAAATAAGGAGATCCGTTCAAGAATTTCTTTCATTGGTTTGGATTTGGATTTCTTTGCCATGGAACATATTCCAACCACAATCTGCCTTTCCGGTGGCTAAAACAGAAACAAAACAAAAAATCAGGATGACTTAACATGAACTCCAAAGTACAGCTACCTTAATTTTTCTTCAGAAGAAGATCTGGCATGTGATTAATGAATAAAAGTAGCAAATTAACCAAAAAAGCATTTTTAATAATTATATCATTGTTACAATAAACAAAAAATAAATTAATAGCTTTCTACAAAGGCCTGGAAAAATTTTTAAAAACAAAAACACTTTCAGAACATTGCTACTATTTTCAATCAAATTTAATACTAAATACTCTTTCTTTAACTGCCTCTATCATTCATTTACCCTCTTTACACCAAAAAAGAGTAAATAATGGCCCAAACCTGTCTAACTCAAGTACAAAAATTAATGGAAGTGAAATAAAGAATTACCTTGCCTAAAATAAATCGTAGTTCTGATTACAAAGCTATACAGTATTCATTTACTTTTGTAGATTGAGCTTGAATATTAGTTGTTCACCACAGACAACTTGGAAGAAGTTTTAGAGAAGGTCATGCTGCTAACGGAGTTGTCAAGACCCTCTGACATTCCAGTCTTCATACTCAATATTCCTATTTAATGGTGTTGCTGATCTCTGGCACCCTTGCTACAGCTTAAAGGTCATGATTTGGTTTAAAACTTAAAAAGCTCTATATAGAAGCAATAACTTATGAAGAAGCTCATGGATTTATAAAATGACTCAAGATTAATTGTGGGGTCTTTGCATTCAGGTACTTAGAGTTTTATCAAATAAATAAAGCTGTGTCCAGTTTTTCATTTCAATTCTTTTCTCCTTCCATGATATTTCACATGACATTATAATCTGGTCTGAAAAGTGATTTATTACACTTTCTCTTACTATAATCTAAAAATAAAATTGGATAACATCAAAATTAAATTGTTCTTTTTAGGCCTAGAACTATACTTCTGCATTACCTCTTCACACTCATGAAATTTAGTTTGGTTCAGTACTAGATTTGATTGTAAATCAAATAAGTGATAACTTCTAAACTTCCTGGGTCCTGCTGTCTTTCCCCCTTTGATCATCCATTTTCATGTTCCCTTATTCAATTCTTCCCTGATCAAAAGCTTTGATATAGCTCATTATGATGTTTCTAAAATAGATTTCCTAAGACATCAAAATTACTCAACCTAACATTTTTCATGCTTTACAGTTTAAAGAAAAAATACTAATACATTAAGTTTTGATTTTTACTATATATCTATTTAATGAATATCTGTTCATTGGCTAAGATGAGTGGGAAACATTCGAGTTTAAAATGTACAAATAAACCTATATTAATAAGATGAAATTACAGAATTTTCCTATTAGGTAAATCCTTAGCAGTACCAAAATAGTTTTTTAACATATGAGTTATTTTGTTAGACTTAATGTCTAAAAAAACTGAAATTCACATCTTTGAAATCTTAAAAATAGAATAATCCAAAATAAATCACTTCATAAAGTTATAAGTCAAAGGAACTACATCAAGCTTTTCAAAAGTAACAACAGTGTCATGAATGCAAGCTCAATTTAGCACTAATATTCCATGAAATGGGTTAAGTACTGAAGATCAGATATACAGAAAGTATCTGTCCTACAAGTACTTTGAGTCTAATAGAGAACATGGTAAAAATACAGTACACTGTGATACACATAAGTCAAGGCATAGACATAGAACTGAGGAAGAAGAGTTCAAGTCTGTCATGTGGAAAAGAGCAAGGAAAGTGGGAAGAGTGAAATGCATGAAATCCAAGAATGGTTCCAAAGAAAGAAAAATAATTCACAATAAGGGCATGTAAGAGAGATAAAGGAATACATACAACAGCAAAGAGGCATGGTACAACATGGAATAAATTATGTGGAAATAAAAATTTTGATGTCATTAAAACATAAAAGGTAGGAAGAATGAGAGACTAGTATGGCTGTAGACAAAGAGGGGAGAGAAAAGTCCTTATATGTAAGAAGACTGGACTTGATCCACCAATGGTGTTCATATGGTGTTTAAAAGAACTCTAGAGAAAAGAGGTAAGGGTCATAGAGGCTGAGTCAACAGTGCTTTCTAGTGAGCTGGAGAAGCTCTGCTTTTATGTTTCACTTTCAGGACTTCATCTGAATCTTCAAAGTTTTGGCTGCTAAGAGAAGCTTGAAAATCATTATTTTCTCATGGGTAGGGTATGGGGAAGGGTAGGTATGGGGAAACATGTTTTTCTTTTAAAACAAAATTCTTTTTCTAATTTGAAATATAAGAAAAACAAACATATTGTAAGTCTGTATTTTAAATCAGTTCTCAGAGTAAAGCAATCTCTACTTACAAAAAAAATCAATGATGAGTAAGAAAAATGCTCAGCTGATGTAACTATAGCAAAATGAACACAATAAAATCCAATATGGACATAACGTTCTAATATATCAGAAAAAGAACAAGATTTAACACATTCACACATATACACAGATGCTTTAAGTAGCCTCTTCTAGTCAGTTTGCAGACTTCTGAATAATTAATAAATAAATAGAGATTATCTTCAGGTCAACCAGCACTTGCACTGGTGACATGATAAACTTAATGAATCTGTTAAGGAGTTAGTTCTCCTTTTTTAGTACCTTTAAAATTATTTCCTTCTACTTCTTTATCTTGATATATTTGTTACACATTTCTACATCGAAGAAACCCTTTTGATTTAGGCCCCAGATTATACTGTTTCTCTTTGCCACTTTTTCTACCCAACCTTGAGTTACATTATGCATTATCAGTGAAAGAAACTAAAATAGGCATCATTAACAACTTAGAAGTCTGACCCCTAACTGTATATTGATTTGCCATAGATTCCGTATCACTCATGAAAATATACTTCTTCAGTTTAAAACATTTCTAATAAATTCTGTGAAAAAGTCTTAATTTAAGATCACAGTATTAATTCACATTAACAGTGATTAGTAAAAAGTTTAATACTGTATTGGTCTTCTTTCACCAAAGACACAAACAACTTACAGACTCATCCTCCTCCTCATCATCTTCATCTGCATGGTGGAAGAAACGTCGATAATTTCCAGGGTTTATTTCTGTATCTTCAGGACCAACAAAGAATCTGGGGGCTTCACTCATTTTTACTTAATTTGATATAGATATAATTTAAATGATCTATATTAAAACTGCTTCGACATAAATAGCATCAGAAGAAAGCATTCTCCCTATACTCGCTGACACATAGGTCTGCTGAAGCTTGTTTCTGCTTATATAGTCGCTTGAAATTGTGATGACAGTTCATTGGCAGACGCTCCTTTGTTCTCAGATATCATTGCTTCATTGTTGATATCGAAGTTGTTGCTGCAGTTTAAAATACAAAGACAGTGAGGCTATTGCTTCCCCGAGTTGATATAGCAATCTCTTTGTGTAAAATGAAATTAAAACATTAGTTTTAGAGAGCGTACTTCAGAAACATTCATGTAAAAATAATTTTAAATGATACTTGTAAAATCAGCACCAATAATGTGATTTTCTTCAATAAAATTAAGAAATTAAGACTCTTATCTTCAGTAATATACATCTTAGCAATTGGTCTAACTGATACAAAATAACAAAAGGACTACATCCTAATTTCCTCAAGTCCAAAAATAACAAATAAGGAGAAAATTATTCAAATTATAACAAAATTACATCAAAAGCTAAATCAATCTGTACATAGTTCAGACATACCTGAATGGAAAAAACAGATAAAATGTAACGTGGGTTTAAAAACCACTGACAATTGAACATTAATCTAAAATTACATTAAAACAATTTGTAAAAGTTCAGTTTACAAACAGGTTTTTCAGGGAACATAACCACTCTACATTCTGGTCTCATACATACATCAACAAAAAAAAGATTAGAGTAAAAACAGTATTTCATTTGAATAGTAGCTCTTAAACTTGTAGAAGTCAAAAAGTCTTTAGCAAATGTCATAAAAATCTATGGATCCTCTCCCCAGAAAAAAATGTACGGGTGCACTAAATTCTGCAAGCAATTTTATGGAATCTACTGACATTTAAACTTTTCCACATAATCACACATCCATGAACATTAATTAAAGAATTATAATATAACTGTGACATAATCTCAAAATGTTCCTTACCAAACTTGTTTACATGTACTTGTTGCCTGGTCATATTAAAATTAATTATCTGCCAAGATGAAAGTAGATATCAAATACTTCATTTGATTAATGGTAGTACCAGGGTACTTCAAAAAGTTCACAGAAAGATTTGTATTATCTTTTAATTTTATTTTTCCAGGAACTTTTTGAAGTGCTCTCATATAAGAAATTACTTGGTCAAATATCCTTAAGAAAAGTTGAACAATATGCCAGATAGAATTCAAAGCATAATTCTGAAAGTCCTATTCCTGAAGATCTAATTTCATTTTATTTGGTGGCTCCCTATGAAACATTAAAATCAGTTTACCCAGTCAGTCTTGACTTTATCCTTTTTCAAATTACAGTTATGAAATTTAAGACAATTTGTGATTAAATAATGAAAGCAGAAATAATTTACTCTATAAATCAACTCCTTTTTTTTCTATTCCCTCCATACTGTTTAATATTAACAAATATTTGCTGTAAAAGAAAAAAAGAAAGTTTCCAATTGCTGTAAAACTTGACGGCACAGGTAAGTTGAACTCAGATCTGTTTTGTATGAAATGGCAAACATCTTTTGGGCTTTTTTTACTGTTTTACTCTTTTTTTTTTTTTTTTTTTTTTTTCCTTTTT